CTGACCTTGTTTTAAGTTAGTAGAAGAAAAAGGCGCATGCCAAATTTGGTGGCCCTAGCTTTTGCCATTGAGGAGGAGTTCTTGAACAAACAAACTCATAGACAGACACACAGATGGACACACTCTGAAATATATAGAGAGACTAGATGATGCTTTTGAATGGATGATCATTACAGTTTAATGACCATTGCTAGCCCTGTGCCAAGTGGAAGAATTTCTCCTGTGGGTTTTAGTTCAATATGGAGGCCAAAGACCGTGGGGAAGGCAAGCGCCACATTCATAATGGAGCTGACTGTCTGTGATAGATACACAGAAAATATCCAGTATCTACCAGAATTTAAAATTAATAAGCTTTACATGGACAGATTCCCCCAAATGGTCACAGCTTCTTAACCATACCTAATCCAAATTCTTCAGAGATACAACACTGGTGTTTTTAGTTTGCTGATATTGCTTATTTTGTTACCTGCTTTGGTACTTTATATTGACATTGTTATACTATATATGCTGCAAGTTAAACAGAAAAGTAAACACAGTGATTATTGGTGGGTGAAATTGTATTGAAGCAAAAGTAAGAAAGGAGACCGCAGAAATATGAAGTATTCAGAGATAAGTTAATGCATGCCCAAGGATTTGCTTGCCATCCAGAAATACATACATTAGAATTTTAAAAAGGCCAATATATATTAATTAGGATATGCAAAAAATAGTAAAGGTTAACAAAGAAGCATAGAAGGACGAAAGCCTCAGGAGTAGAGGAAGGCTGGCAGAATGCCATCTTGAGGGCAAGAACATGTAAAAATTATAGAAAAGCAAAGATGAAGAATAAAAAAAAATTGTAAAAGAGGTGATGCTGGATAAGATATCTTTACAGCAAATGTGGAACAAGAAATCATCGTAGGTGACAATGCCACTTCTAGGTGCTAGTAAAGGCAATTTATGGACAGACAAGTTCTAAAAAAATGGAGAGGTGCTGAAAAATTCAATGAGTTTTTTGCAACACTGTTCTCAACCCAATGCCTGAAGCAGACACACATATTTTCTAGTAGAGAGAATAAATGCTGATTGCATCAGAACAAGCAATACAAAATTAGAGCATCTGAAGACTGATAAATACAGAGCCACATGGAAAATGCAAGTTTGATTTCAACAGAAGAAAGTTGATAGAAATTCTAATCCAATTCTTTGCTTTCCTGAATCCAACATTTATGCCATCATGCTCTTAACATCTAATATATGAAAAGAGTTTGCAGAGATTTGTTACAAAAGGTAGACTCAGGCTCAGGTTTAATTTCCAATTTTTACACAGAGATTACAAAAACTGACATGGAAAATAAATGTGGCCATGACAAAAAAGGAGGAAAGCTTCAAGGCAATAAAATCTTATTTTAGCAGTGGTCCCAAATTTGGAAGAGTTACTATCTCCTCTGTATTTCAGTCAAAGGGCAGTATCTCACTATGAGGTGCTGTTCTATAGCATAACATGTAGAATAGCACTTCATCCATTCTCAGATCAAGAAGATTTTAAAGTATGAAACTTTTCATTAAAGTTGTTTCAGGATACTACCATTGGAAATATTCTATCTATGGATGTGTTTACTTACACAGTTCTGATCCTGGCATGGACAATACTTAGTGCAATGATTGTAACACACTACTGTCACACCAAGTTTGAAAATTATTCTTGTTTATCACATTGTATTTGCTTAAGCAAACATTATAGCTTGAAATACCACTGAAGTTTGTTGTTTTAATCTTTGCTAGTTCAGAAACCAGCAGTAGTTTCAAGGTAGGTCCAGTTTGCAAGATCTTTTCTTGCTTTTTTATTTTATCATTCTTTGCCTTTAAAATTGTCAGACTTTCAGTTATAGAAAAGTGCTTTCCTGCTTTAGTTGTAATTTCATTCCCTACTACCCCCATGGGTTTCCAATAGTAGACTAGGCTGCAGAAGAAAGGGTTTGTTTACTTTGTTAAAGAGAGCTCATTAATCAGAAGCCCGTTGACAAAGTGGATGTCAGTGCAGAAGTATAATTTCAAAAACTGTCATCAAGGTGTATAATTTCATTCTCATGCATACAGTAGGTGCATACACCATGCTCTGCTGTAGTCTGTAGTGTATTGCAGCTGGGTTTTAATTTTTCATGCCAGACAACTAAATATTTATGAAATCATACCTCCAGTAGAGGTCACATGCTTCCTCAGCTGACTAGATGCTGTCTATTAATAGATATTGGTCTTGAGCAAAATGGATGTCATTCTGATTTGGTAGCCTTTTGCACAGGTTTGAACGACTGTATTATGTCAAGCCATTTGGCACTGTTTATGCCATGTTATAAGCCACCCTTTCCACAAGCTGTCTGGTTTTGAATGAAAAGCCCAATTAATTCCCTGTTGGTATGTGAGTTCCTGTATTACTGCTCTCTATTTATATTTCGGCTAATTTTTGCCACTGAAAATTAACAGGTTTAAAGTGACTTGTTTAGAGATGAAGACCTGATTCGCCAGGGTGTTCTAGCTGCTTTGTGGTGTGCAACAGAGCTTTGCTGATTTTAACAAGCTGAGGATCCAACCCAAGAGTCATTAAGCATAGAGAAAATCAGATGAAAGAAACAGAAACAGTTTTCATAACATCACTAACCTGAAATAATAAAAAACTCATATGAATAAAGCTTGTTACTTGCAACAAAAATACCTCATATTTCCAAGGGAGTGATACTTCTTTTCTGACCACCTTGATCAGCCAGACTGTCAGAGAACTCTTTTTCTGGCATCTTTCCCAGTCCTGTTTTCAAGTTTCTTTAATATGCTTGGTTTGTTGTCATATCAGACATCCTCCTTCCTCAGAGTGGCATCTCACATGGTTAAAGCCCAATTTGTATCCACATCTGGATCTATAGCTGCAGAAATGAGCCATGGATATCTGCACTGACATCCGTGGATGTGGATGCTTGTAGATATAAAGCAAATAGCCACAAATTTGCAGGGTTCTAAATACACAATTTATAGCTACATCCATATCTGCAAAAATGAGTTGTGGATATCTGCACTCACATTCACAGGTGCAGATATCTGTGGATATCCACAGATTTGCAGGGTTCTACAAAGGGTGTGTCTCTAAATTCATGCATGATTGTATTCAGTGCTGTGGCTAAACAGTTTCATATCCTATTTGCCAGTTCTACCTGTGCATCCAATCACCCCCAATAAATATCTCCACCTCCAAGACTGGTTAACTTTTGGCTAGGTCTGGAAGACCTTTGTCTTAACATATTGATTATCTTGGCTGGCGGCACCATCCTGAAATAAATCAATTTGTTATTGGAGATGCAGAGCTTATAATTCATTGCTGACATTCATTTTAATCTGCACTAGCTATGAAACATGGACTGATTAACAGATTCCATCATTAAAAAAAACCCTATTTGAAAATAAGTGGGTTGAACAGGCACTGAACCTCTTCAGAGAAGAATTTGGACATTTGTAGGGATATAGAAGGATAACAAGGTTTTGTTTTAAATCCTATCAAAAGATATAGAGACTAATTATGCTAGTGCTCTGTATATGCTTTTAAATACATTCTCATTGGTACATTTCTCATTTAATATATTAGATTATACCTGATTTTACACTGATCTGTTTTGGGCATTATTCGAATAAGCATTAGACGTTAGAGATCAGTGACATTATTTGGAAAGAACTATTACAATTGATTTTAAACCGATATTTAAATTTCCAAATAGCATTTATTCTCAAATACTGTTCTGATTGGATACTTCCATGTGCCTGAACTGGTTTTGGCCCCTTCAGAGCAATCCAGTGCATCTATCTCCCCTCCCTACCTCTCCACCCTCCCAGTAGTATTGATATTCTAAACCTCTTAAGCACTGTTCTTATAATTAACAAGCACTGGATTTCAGTGTCATTATTTAGGGAAACCCTCAGGTCATTTACTAGACATTTGTTTTCCATTTTTGTCCCCTGGTGCCAAACATGGAGGTGACCCTCTGTGAATAGATCTGCCTTCAGCATGCAAGGGAGACTCGGCAGCCTCTGTGACCGTGTTCCTCAAACTTCTGGATCCAAGGGCCTTGCAGGGGAGCAGGGACTTGGCAGGGTTGGGGTGAAATGGATGGGTTGGAGAGGTCACAATACAACTGTGGGCAAGGGAGGCCAACTGCCAGGCACTGCAGCCATAAACCATTGTGAGCCTCATGGAGCGGGTGAAGATAGTCCTGGACTACTCATCCTCCTCTCTGGAATCCAGGAGCAGGGAACTTTTTTTGCATCGGGGGGCCGCATACCCACATGGTCCTGACAAAGAAACAGAAGCACTCCTCACATTCCCCTTGCACACCAGAGCCTAGGGAGGTCCAGGCTAATAGATTTTGTGTACTCCAGCACCATGATGGAAGGGGGGGAGGGGTCTGGAGCATCAGCGCAGGCTCCCCAATGCTGGGGGAGAGGTCTCGAGCCTCAAAGTCTGGATCCAGCAAAACCGGGGGCCGGATGCAACCCTGGGGCTGTAGGTTCCCCACCCTGCTCCTGTTTCTGAGGGGGCTGCGGGCTTTAGAGTTTGATCCTGCAGACTGTCTTTGAGCATGCACTTTGATACCAGCTTTTGTTTTTGTAATGGTTTTAGGAAATAAGAGAAGTAGCAGTAAAGGTTATAAATCTTATGTAAATGTAGTTGTAACCAAGTTTGCTGTTCACCTCTTTTTAAGAGAGCAGCAGGGCAAGCACAGGACTAAAAAAATAGGAGCTTTCAAAGTGGCACTTCACTCTCTCTCCTTCCCCCATCCACGGCCTTGGTGTTGGAAAAGCTCTCTCCCCACTGGGACCCCAGGGTAAAAGGCATCCTGTGCCCATGCCGATTATTGGGGGACCTGTGCCCCTGCTTGCCCTGCCCAGATAACAGTTTAAGTAACATCAGAATTTCCTCCTCAGAAAATAAAGCATTGATTCGCCGGATGTTTACGCTAGATGTGTTGCTCTTTATGCAGGTTACGGCAGGAGAATGACATGGTGGATTCAGCTCCTCAGTGGGAAGCAGTACTGAGGCAACAAAAAGAGAAAAACCAGGCTGATCCGAATCACAGGCGATCCAGGCACAGATCTCGATCGTACGTGAACATTTCCATACTTTGACATGAAATCAAAGACCACTGTAATGTATTTTGGACCAGGACAAAGAGTTCTGACCTGCTTATTATTACTTTGTAGGTTGTTCAGGAATAGCAACTTTATATGCGGTTTTATTTTGTTTAATCAAGCATTAACATGAGCTTGAGCAAGTCACCATACCTTTTTATGTCCCTGATTCTTGAATGGGCATAATAGCATTGCCCACCTGTGTGCAGAGAGTTAAGATCTATAAGTGACATAGTATTTTACTGTAGTGTGCGAGAGTTGTTCTTTGTGAAATTTCCACACATTTTAATTGTCAAAAAAATAAAATACTATTCCAGATTATACCTTCACTTCAGATTACCATTTGTAAGCAGCAATCGTGATTTATTACAACCTGCTATCAAGATTTCCGTGATAGAGTGGTGTTGCTAGGCAATGCCATGAATATGCTCATCCATCCGCTGAACACTGACGTTGCCAGTTTCTAAAATTAATTTTCTTGTGAATTAATGAAAATATTATATTGATTATTTTTAATCTGTGCATGGTCAGGGTTGAAAGAGTTTTCAAGAATATTATTCTTGGTAAAATAAATGTCTAGCATAACGTGCCTAGACTTTGAGAAACCATCAAAGGCTTGATAGGGGTTCCAGATCTCTAAAGGAGAGTGGCAGAGGATCTGTGGCAGAGGAGATGGGTTGAGATGCATGTTGAAAAGTGCCAGGAGACCAGCTGGGAGGTTTGGGAGAGTAGTCAAGAGAGTAGCTTTTATACTATTACCATACCCTATTTGCCATGCTAAAATTGATGAATTATCCATCCCAGGGTGCCTATGGTTTAACATGGGAGCAAGGTAATGTGCTCTAAACACTTGCAGTCTTATAATATAAGTTTTACTTACCTTCCATATTAAGCCAGACCTACAGAAAATCTGTAAAGCTTCAAATTGCTCAGTGTATTTTACCTCATAATGATTTATAGAATTATACCATAGAAACAAAACCATGTTTTTAATGCAGAATTGGGGTACAGATGCAGGTCTTCACTGGGATATTGTACCTTCATGTCACCAATAGAAGCAGTCCAAGCTCTGGCACCCAAGAGGCTGGCAATAAACACAACATGTGTTTACTAAGTTAACACAATATTAACTATTGATTTCAAAATGTAAACTAATAAAATGGTCACTCAGACTCTTCTACCAGGAGCTCCCCTACTTTACAAAGCTTGTGTGTGTATGCAGAGAAAACCAATTGAAATGTGATGAATACATACAATATACAAATGTGCAACTATTTCAGTATAAGGAACAAATCAAACTGTTATATAAAGCTGCATATCTGTGTTGACATTTCATGGTTTTGATATTCAAGCCACTGGAGCTTGCTTGTCATGGCTACCAGTGTTATCAGAACCCATTTTTATCTCTAGCATCATACATCACACTTTTTCTTCCTTTATGAGACATGGGATGTGCCGTTAAAATTCCAAATGTTGTCTTTTGCAGTCTTTGCACAGATGTTTGCTTTCAACATCACTTAAGCCTACCTCTTAACATTTGATTTTTTATTATAGAAAAATACAAAGCTAAAAAGTGTCAATATAAATAATTTCTTAGAATTGTAAAACATAAAATAAGTGTGGTTTCCATTATTTTTGTTGTTTCTTATGTAGAGATCATGTTTTAAACCAGGAAATGCACCCTGAGTTTCTAACCATTTTATAAAATTTGTAACAACTAACTTTTTCTTTGCCAAATACGTTTATATTGCATTAATGAGACATCAGAGTCTCCCTCTTGTGGCTAGTTTAACTCTTGCAATGAAGAAACGCAGAATTAGCTCTGTTGTGTAAAAGGCTTTGATGGGTTATATTTTCATTAAATGGGGATATAGCAGTATACATGTACACAGCACTTTACAGAAAAGGTAAGATCCTAGATGGTGAGGAGACTCTTAAGATATTATGTGTTTTTTCTCTTCATTGTGATAGGGATAAATATATTTGCATCATATATTTATTTATTTATTTAGGAAAAGCAGAACAAAAGAAATAGACAATAAAACATTTAATATGGACAAAAACAATCTGGAAAAAGAAAACATTAGCTCTTTAAAGATGTTTCTGACAAAAATGACCAAATAAAAGCTTTTTAACCATTTGAAGGGCAAAATTAAATGAGACACACAAGGCAGGTGAGGGTTCAATAAAAGATAGTACCTTACCCACCTTGGCTCTCTAGTATCTTGAGACCCACACAGCTGCAGCTATCCTACTTACAAAATTAAACAAGATCGAAAGATCCAAAATACAGCATGGTGTTATAGCACTTATTAAACTTGGTTGTGTCTCAGCCTGAGTGATTACGTGGTTTTGTTAAGTTAAGAGAAAAATCAGGTCCGTAGTGCAGGGTGTAGGGTTCTTTTTTGTTTGTTAATTCTGTAAAGTGAAATATATCACATTATTACTAGACTAAAAACAAGCAATCAGCTTTGAACGCTATAATTTTAATAATATAGACACGGTCTTTGTGTAAATTACTATCTACTCTGCATTCAGCTATACATTTGGTTTACTTTAGGAGTTTGAGGTAGAAGGACAAATTAGATTTTATTGTATTTGGTTTAGCTTGGCTCATCACTTTTCATTTCTTTGATAAAGAATAACATTTTTCAGTGGTAGTTTTTTTGCTACATTTTTTCTTGAAAAAAAATTGACAAGCATTTGACCCTTGTTTCTTTCTATGGCAAAAGCAATTAAAAAAGCTTCAAATTCTAGTTCTGCCAGCTTATTTTCAAGAGTTCAGGTAAAACATCTGTATAGCCAAAGGGGATTTTTTCATTGAGAAGAATGGCCATTTAAATTCCTTGGCTATTTAAATCCACTAAATGCTGCCTAGTTGCAAATCATGAATTCAAAATGAATTGTTAATAAGAGTACAGATATAGGCATAAAATTAATGTAGATGTTAGTAGCATCTAGGGCTATCTGAGCTTGTAAAAACAAACAAAATTTAAAAAATCTTGAAGACAGCATTTAATGAAAATTCCCATTAGATTAATTGAGCTTTGATCTAGTTAGTTCAGGAACAGTCCAGAAGTACTGTCCATTCAGAACTCAGTTCAGATTTTTATATATATATATATATATA